GCTGCTGCCGGCCACCACAGCCTCGACCTGCTGGGCTCCGGCGATCCTTCCGCCTCAGCCTTCCAAGTAGCTGGAACTACAGGTGCGCGCTACCACGCCCAGCTGATTTGTTGATTTATTGTAGAGATGAGGTCTCGCCAAGTTGCCCAGGCGGGTCTCGAACCTGTGGGCTCAGGCAATCCACTCGCCTCAGCCTCCCAAAGGTGCGGGATTACAGGTTGAGCCACCGAGCCCGGCTCACTTTTTTTAAATAGCAAAGTGTTCAAGGTAGCAGTCTAATATCTCTCACAACTAGAATTATTGTGTTCACGGGGCCAAAGGGCCTTGAGTCACCCATGCAAATACTTGATCAAAAATACAAAGCTGCCTCTGGTCCTTGCCAGATTTGGGGTGGTTGGGGTAGGAGGACAGGAACAGAGGGACTCCTAGCCCTGGTGCTTCTCAGCCACACCCCACTCCTCTTCAGTCTACAACATCATCATTCCTACCCTTGCTCTCATATGAGCAGAAACCCCATGTTCAATTTTTTTAAAAAGCAAAGTCATTACATTTTCCAGGATTTTCAAAGTCAATTTTTTATTGATTTGGGGACATACAAGTATATTTGAAGTCATTATGAATTATGATAAATTTTAAAGCAGCTTAAAAGTTTTGTTACATACTTGTTATTTTTTTTTAAAATTAGCCTTAGATAATTCTATTTTGGGGCACAGATTCCTTCAGAAAATAATCTACTTATTCCTTTCAGATTCACAAATCTTGTGGCTTTGGGATATTTATTTGCTGTCTATATTAAGTAAATCTCAAAATGGAGATGTAAAAAAAAAAAAAAAAAGAAGCAGGCAGAAAAATGTTAACATTTTAAGCCCCTGTTTATAAGAATAAAAGAGATTATGTTTCTATCATATAGAACATGTTAAGAGAAAAGACATGTAAGTAAAATAGTCCTCAAAATTTATGTGTAACATGAAACTCCTTTGGGCCTTTAATATTTCCTTGGATACTCTGAAACCATTACGTAAAGAAATGTGCTCCTCTTTCTAGTTTCATTTTGCCCAGAAGAGCCTCTTTACTTTGTCTACAGAAGATGTGATTTAACCTACAGGCCACCGTGATAGTATAACAAAGAAAGTTATTGTGGGAGCCTATTTCACCATTACTAATGAAGTGTTGTTGATCTGTCAAAGAAGTTACAAAATTAAAACCTACTTTCAAATTCCTGCTTTAATTTGAAACTTTCTCTGCTCAGCCTGAATGAGCCGAAAGAGGGCAGCAACGACTTACATGTTCAGATAGTAGAAGCAGCAGTGCTTCCTATTTACGATGGTTTTCCATTTCAGTGTCTTCTGCTTTCCTGGAGGCCATACATTTAAAGTCATCGTTAATCTTGACAAGTTTTAATTCTGTTTCAAAGTTCTGTGAATCTACTTGCTTTTTTTTTTCCTTTGAGAAAGCAGGATTTATTGGGAAGACAGAAAAACTCCCACAGTGGGAGGGGACCCAAAGGAGATGCCCCTATTTTTTTTTCAACTTTTTAAAATTACTAGAGTGATACCTGTTCACCATAAAAAAAAAATTAGAAAATACAGATAAGCATTAAAAACTGTTTTCCACAATCTCTCACCTACCCATAAATAACCACCTTTTACAAGTATCAGTCCTTCCAGTTCTTTTTCTTATATAGAGCCATTTATTTTTTATAGAGTAATGTTATAATCATTGGTGAACAATGGGTTTTGTTTTGTTTTGTTTTTGCTTTTCAAGAAAAAAATTATATCTGCTTGTATTATTGGAAAGTAATTGGTTCTTATCAAGTCTGCTGTTCTGTTGGACAACTTTTTTTTTCTTTTTTTTTTTTTTTTAAGTTGGAGTCTCACTCTATCACCCAGACTGGAGTGCAGTGGCTGCTCCCAGCCACTGCAGCCTCAACCTGCTGGGCTTCGGCGATCCTTCCGCCTCAGCCTTCCAAGTAGCTGGAACTACAGGCATGCACTACCACGCCCGGCTACTTTTTTGATTTATTGTAGAGATGAGGTCTCGCCAAGTTGCCCAGGCGGGTCTCAAACCCATGGGCTCAGCAATCCACTCACCTCAGCCTCCCAAAGGCGCGGGATTACAGGCTGAGCCACCGAGCCAGACTTCCATTCTTAACTACTCTTGTGGTTAGAAGAGAATTGAAGATGTTTTTAGTTAATAATAGGTAAACTAACTTTGGGGATGCAGTGAACCATACTGAACCATGCCAAGGGAGCCTAAAGCTCTCCCAGCCCATTCCCACCCTCAGGGCATGCATACAGGCTCACTTACAACTGCATACACATATCAGTACAATTAGAATTTTAGAACTGGAAAGGATCTTGGAAATCATGTCGTCCAAATCTTTCATTTTGTGGATGAGTAAAGTTAGATTAAAAAGGTTTGGAACTTGCCACAGTCACACAGCTTGGTTAGTTAATAATGCCACACAGGAAACCAAACCTGTTATTCACCACCAGTTGTTTTTTTCATAGCTCAAACTTCTTCCTGTTGAAATATATGGCACACCTAGATTTCTTCTTGGAGAGCTACAGTTGCATTCCTTGAATTTTTCTTATAATATTTAAAGAATTTGATATTTGTATTGGTCTGCTCAGGCTGCCATGACAGAATGCCATGGACTGGATCACTTAAACAACTGAAATTTATTTTCTCATACTTCTGGAGGCTGGAAGTCCAAAATCAAGGTGCCAGCAGGGTTGGACTCTGGTGAGGCCTCTCTTCCTGACTTGCAGACTGCTGCCTTCTCACTGTGTCTTTATATGGCCTTTCCTTTGTGTGCATAGACTCTGGTGTTTCTTCCTCTTTTTATGAGGATTCCAGTCCTATTGAATGAGGGTCACACACTCTTATGATGCCATCTACCTTAATTACCTCCTTAAAGGCTCTATCTCCAAATACAATCAGACTCACTGGGGTTAGGACTTTACCATATGAATTAAGGGAGAAACAGTTCAGTCCATAAAAGTACTCATCTTAAAGTCCTTAAGACATTTGGTTTTATTTTTTAAATTTAAAGAAGTAGAGAAGATTATAATTGTTTCCTTATGCTTATCTGTATTTTCTAATTTTTTAGTGCTAAACTTGTATTACTATAATAATTTTAAATGCTTAAAAAATGGCAAGTAGATATATAAAAGTTTTAAATGGTTTTAAAACTTATCAAGATTAGCAATGGCTTTCGATTCATGGCTCTCAGGAAAACAGAAACAAATGATGTTAAACAGCTTCAGGGCATCAGAACTCTGGGTGTCTTACTGAAAGACCCAAATGTTTATACTCTGTGACATTTAGTTGACTGTCCTTCTACTCTGGTGTCCTGTTGGATTCAAGGAGATTTGAAAGAGGAAGACTAGTAGCTAGTCACTTCCATCATGCTCTGTGATACCTGAAAGTATAGACAGACATAATTACTTGGCAAGTTTTTAAGTGCTGTACTGTAAATAACTGCTTGTTGACTTTCAGGGAATCCCGTATCAGCTGTGGTCACCTGCAATCTCTTTGTTGTGCCTGCACTGAGAAAGATGCAAGGCATCTTGGATCCTCGGCCAACCATCATCAAAGCCAGGGTAATGTTTTCTAATGACCAGAAACAAAAAATGAAGCCTGATAACAATTAAGGCTATGAATTCCTAACTGTCTGTACTCAACATCTAGAATTTCTATTAGTTTAGATAGAAAATGTTTTTATATTCTCCCCTTTGTGATAGAAAATGGAGGGAAACAGCTTCTAAAGAGAATCATTTTCTCCAGACAGAAGTCCATGTAGAAGTCAGGAGAGTAAGGCTTAAAAATGGCTATGGATACTTTAGGACAAAACGGTCAACAGAATGAAGCTGGCACCACCCTAACACTAGACCTATATGGAGCAAAGGACTAGAATTCTCTTTTCCCCATGCAAACTCACAGGGGACAGCAGTTAACCTGCTCACTTTTTTTTGTGACTCCTTCAGTACATTTCAAACAATTCAGAAAAAGACAACCAAACAACTAGAAAAAGACCCTGGTGATTCCAGAGGAAAGGGTAACCATATTGTTTAGAAAAGGACTACTAAGGCTGAGAAGTTATACCTTGGTAAAAACCACTTGGAACTTAGAGTCCCCTTCTCCACCAACACCAACTTCAGTTTGACTTACTACTACTGGAGTTCATTGTGGTATACACTTTCTGTGTTACTAATGAATAATGTTCTTGGCAATATAAACTACCGTACCAAACCACTACTTTTAAAGAGTTCTGAAATAAATTCAGATATGACCGAATGCTATGATTAGTTGACAGGAAGAACAAAAAACCATAAAAAGAAAATGTTACTAAAATATTACTCTGAGAATACATAGGATACAAGCATTAAGAAAATCTAGGCTTTAGGTAGTCTTAACATTGATTTTCTAAATACTGAGACTTTGTGAAACAATATGTGACGAAATCTTCTCCTTTTCTTCAAATTTCATTAAAAATTTAACCAGGTTTTTTTTCAGTAATCACAATGGTGGTCTTATTTGAAATTAAGTGGAAAAAAAAGTCATCAATGAACAAAAAGTATTCTGAGTAAATCAGACAAAGTTATAAAGCCTTGATTCAATGACAGTTAAACCAGTGAGTTTACTATTTTTGTTTACTAAATTAAAGAAACAAGAAAAATTCATGTTGTAAGAGAGACTTTGCAAAGCTCTTATTTCTCATTTATTTCTCATTTTAACACCCACCATCTCTTCTTTAAAACCGACTTGGTGAAAAAAAAGACTTGATGGCTGCCATCCATTCTGATAGCAATGACGAGATGGACTCTGTCATCAAACTGATGCTTCCCATTTCCTGTCAGCAAAGGATATTCAGAACTGGTCCAAAAAACCAGTCAAATGCCTTTCCCCCACAGCAGTGTCACTGGAACTGCCAGTGGGGTCACCAGGATGCTTGGCTATTAGTCACTTTCGTGTCTCGCGTCCCATATCACTCCCACATCTTTGCTGGCACAACTGCCACTTCAGAGCATAAACCTGTGAACTTCTTGAAACATGGTAAATCTTTTCTTTTTTTTGAGTTGGAGTCTCACTCTTGTCACCCAGCTGGAGTGCAGTGGCACGCTCATGGCCACCGCAGCTTCAGCCTGCTGGGCCTAGGTGATCCTTCCACCTCAGCCTTCCAGGCAGCTGTAACTATAGACGCACACCATGCCTGGCTAGTTTTTGTGATTTTATTGTAGAGATGAGGTCTCACCAAGTTGCTCAGGCTGGTCTTGAACCCCCGGGCCCAGGCAGTCCTCTCGCCTCAGCCTCCCAAAGTGCCAGGATTATAGGTTGAGCCACCGTGCCCGGCCAAAACATGGTAGGTCTTATCTCTGTCTCTGACCATACAAGATTCAGCTGACACACACCACTTACTGCTGTCTCCAACACAGATGCCACAGTCACTGCCTTTACCAAGTCTTGCTGCTGTGGGGAAGTGGGCTCAAGGTTGCCATTTAATGAGGAGGACAATGGTGTGTTATTTTAAAAAGGTCAGCACAGACAATGACATCCTTTTATAGCCAAGCATTCAGAAGAGCATCCATTTAGAATAAACACTTCCCTATTTCCTTGCTCTCCTTCGGTTGGGATTGAAATAAGAAACACAAGTCTAGCAATTCATCAGAAATAAACATCGACCCGATGTTTCCACACGGGACATGCTAGCCTATGTTTGCTTCATATCCCATCAAAGCACACTATACTGCTCTTGTCCCCAACTTATTTATCAAGAAACACGCCTGAAGTAACTCCCAGTAGTATTAACAACTCGCCTCAGGCAGGATTAAAAGAGAGAAAAGGGAAAAAGCATGTTCTAGAGGATAGCTAACTAAAGCCCCAAGTGCTTGCCCCCCTCACGATAAGCCAGAACAACGAATAAACTATATTTTAATGAAAACAAGTGAGGGAGAGCAGAAGGAGTCACAGAAACCCTGGTGAGCACAAAGCTCAGAAAACAGCAGGCCTTCCCCAACCAGGATCAGCTGGAAACTAGGAGGAACTTTTCCCTACAGCAAGGAGGTAGGCAAGAGGATCCCAGTGACCCCAACACCACCTTGGACACCTACAGACCTCACCACTGGGGTCCCTTGCAGTCCTCACAGGCATGAAGCCCAGCTGAGGGAGCTGCCTAGAGTCAGGGCAACTGTGCTCTCTGCAGGGAAGGAGCCCACGCTATGCCCTACCCCCTATGGCTACTGAACTATGCCATTTTGGAAGTGGAACTGTGGCTGCAGTATGTCTCAGGGAGCAAGTAGCCATGGCTCCCTTTATCTTTGGTGCTAAGCCACCACTGAACCAACCCAGCCCAGTGCCTTACATCCCCAAGCTGAGCTGCAAGCAGCTGTTTGGGTGGAAGCTGAAGCCACACCTGCCTCCTAGGAAAGCAGTACTTTTGCTGCTCAGAGCAGCCATGCTTCCCTAGTGCCTGAGTTGAAGCAATGCCCTGATTCCCAGGAAGCAGTGCCTTTGCCACCCAGAGCAGTCATACCTCCTAGAACCTAAGTGGCATCCTCTATGCCACAGAAGAGCTGTCAGTCAGGGCAGGCCAGAACAGTCATGTACCTGAGGCCTGAACGGAAGCAGCACAGCACCCCTAGGGAACTGATACTCTGGGTGAACTGAGCAGCTAGGCATCCAGGGCCAATACCCACATCCCAGGGGAAAAGGGCAGTAGCGAAGCTGAGACACCCATTCTACTTTTACTCAACATAGTACTGGAAATCCTAGCCATAACAGTTAGGCAAGAGAAGGAAGTAAAGGCCATCCAAATGTGAAAGGAGGAGATCAAACTGTCTCTGTTTGATCTCATATATAGAAATCCTAAAAGCTCCACCAAAAAACTCTTAGAACTGATACATTTAATAAAGCCACAGAATGCAAAATCAACATACAAAAATCAGTAGCGTTTCTATACACCAACAGTGAGCCAGCAGAAAAAGAAATCAAGGAAGCAATCCCATTTACAATAACTATCAAAAAAATACTTGGAATAAATTTAGAAAGACCTCTACAAGGAAAATTATAAAACACTGATGGAAGAAATTGAAGAGGTTACCAAAAAAATTGAATGTTATCCCCATGTTCATGAATTGAAAGAATTAATATTGTGAAAATGAGCATACTACCAAAAGCAATCTACAAATTCAGTGGAATCTCTATCAGAATATCAGTGGCATTCTTCATAGAAATTGAAAAAAAAATCCTAAAATTTGTATGAAACCACAAAAGACCCTGAATAGTCAAAGCAATCCTGAGCAAAAAGAACAAAGCTGACAGCATCATACTACTGAACTTCAAAATATACTACAAAGTCAAAGTAACCAAAACAGCATAGTACTAGAATAAGAACAGATACATAGGCCAGTGGAACAGAATGGAGAACCCAGAAATAAATCCATGAACATACAGCCAACTTATTTTCAAAAAGTGACAAGAGCACTCATTGGGCAAGGGACAATCTCTTCAATACATGGTGCTAGGAAACTGAATAGCCATATGAAGAAAAATAAAATTAGACCTTTATCTGTCACTATATATCAAAATCAACTCAAAGTGGGTTCAAGACTTAAATGGAGGACCCCAAGCGATAAAACTACTAGAAGAAAACATGGGAGAAATGCTTCAGGACATTGGTCTGGGAAAAGATTATTTGGGATAAGACCTTAAAAACACAAACAGCAAAAGCAAGACAGACAAAAAGGTATCTTTTTTTTTTTAAGTTGGAGTCTCACTCCATCGCCCAGGCTAGAGTGCAGGACATACTCACAGCCACCCCAGCGTCAACCTGCTGGGCTCAGGCAATCCTTCCACCTCAGCCTTCCAAGTAGCCAGAACTACAGGCGCATGCTACCACACCTGGCTAATTTTTTTTTTTTTTATTTATTGTAGCGATGAGGTCTCACCATGTTGCCCAGGCTGGTCTTGAACCCACGGACTCAGGCAATCCTCTCACATCGGCCTCCCGAAGTGCTGGGATTATAGACTTGAGCCACCACGCCTGGCCAGACAAATGGGTTTCTATCAAACTAAAAAGCTTCTGGGCCAGTCTCCCAGCACTTTGGGAGTCTGAGGTGAGAGGATTGTCTGAGCCCAGTAGTTCGAGAGCAGCCTGGACAACATGGAGAGACTTAACCTCTATAATAAATTTTTTAAATTACCCAGGTGTGGTGGCTATAGTCCCAGCTACTTGGAAAGCTGAGGTGGAAGAATTGCCTGAGCTCAGCAAGTCAAGGCTGTGGTACCCATGATCGCACCACTGCACTCCAGCTTGGGTGAGAGAGTGAAACTCCATCTCAAAAAAAAAAAAAAAAGAAAAAAGCTTCTGCGCAACAAAAGAAATAACAGAGTGAAGAGGCAACCTGCAGAAAAAAAGAAAAATATTTTTAAAGAATTCATTTGGCATGCGATTAATATCCAGAATATACAAAGAATTCAAACAACTCAACAGCAAAATACCAAAAAATTTTATTTTTAAATGGGTAAATATCTGAATAATTATTTCTCAAAATAAGACATGTAAATGGCCAACAGGGGTATGAAAAATGCTCAACATCATTAA